CGCCCGGCTAATTTTTTGTATTTTTAGTAGAGACAGGGTTTCACCATGTTAGGCAGGATCGTCTTGATCTCCTGACCTCGTGATCCGCCTGCCTCAGCCTCTCAAAGTGCTGGGATTACAGGTGTGAGCCACGGCGCCCGAACCTTTATCCAGCAGCCTTGAAACTTCTGGATACTCCCTTTTTCCCTGTGTACCTGAGTAAATGGCCATAGGTCCCTTTGGGTGGGAGGGGGCTGGGAAAATCATTACCACATATATTAATGGTGATGAGAGAGGGTCCTGACTTCTGAAGATCTGGCTTCTTCAGTCATGGGTTCTGGGTCTGAAAATGGCAGTGATCATTACATTTTATCAGGTTCAGTTTCTTGATTCTCCATCCTTTATTTCACTTGACTGTACAGACTGATTACTTCCCCTGTTGTTTGCCCATATTTCTTGTCTTTAGAGACACCATGTTCTATTAATCTCCTTGAAAGATCTCTGAAGCACCTCTTCCCTTTCCCTCTCCCCATCTTCCACTTTAATCTTATTGCTCATTATGTGAATTGAGCTCACCTTGTTTCTGGAGCCATCCTCAGGGAGCCCCAGTCTTGTAAAAATCCTCTACCGTCAGCCTCAGCCTACAGAGGACAGCTACCACAGAGTTTCTCGATGATGCTGGTGCCTCTTTCTAGCACATTCTTTATCGCAGCAGATGATCTTCCAGACTTTCCAATGAAACATAGACAGCTGGTAAGTATTGCAGCCTTACATACTCTACCTATTCTAGTATGCCCAGTTCCCTTAGCCTTTTAACTTCTTATTTTACCTTTTGTCAAGCAATTCTGACATTTTCTGCTTAACATGAGCCATGTATTTCTCTAATCCCCATCTCCGGGCATCCTTGTCAGAGTGTTTAAATCCTGTATCACAAGAGTGTGCTTTCTTTCTTTTCTTTTCTTTTTTCTTTTTTCTTAAGACAGAATTTCGCTCTTGTTACCCAGGCTGGAGTGCAACGGTGTGATCTCGGCTCATGCAACCTGCACCTGCTGGGTTCAAGTGATTCTCCTACTTCAGCCTCCTGAGTCGCTGGGATTACAGGTGCCCGCCGCTACGCCTGGCTAATTTTTTGTATTTCTAGGAGAGATGGGGTTTCAACATGCTGGCCAGGCTGGCCTCGAACTCCTGACCTCAGGTGAGCCACCTGCCTCAGTCTCCCAAAGTGCTTGGATTATAGGCATGAGCCACTGTGCCCAGCCAGGAGTGTGCTCCTTTTCAATAAACTCTCTGGTATTCAAATATATGTTCTACCTTCTTGATCCAGCATCCTCAGGGTCTAGTCTCATACATACTGTCCTGGTTCCTACATATACATATAAACTAGGGCCTGTAGTAACTTCAGCGGATGGTTCTTTTCCTCTGTTATCATGCCCAGAATTTCCCCTGTTGGGTTTTTTGGTGACTTATTTCTAGTTATCGGTTTAGTGGATGGGGTAGGGAGAGGAAAAGGTAGGTAGATCCCAAGGCAGAGTCCTAGCTTTAGACTTGGAGGAGTGGGCCACTTTAGCAAGCCCAAGAAATTCAGAGTGATTGGTGTTTGAAGGTGTTTGCGTGCATAAATCAAAATGTTCCCATCCCAAATCTCAGAGTTCTTCTTTCCCAGCAGGATCCTGACCTTGGCATAGCAAACTTGCTGGGATTTAGAATTCAGTCTTAGCTGAAGTTAGGGCCTGATTCTCAGCTGTTTTGCTATAAGGCTTCGAGAAATCTTCTGATGCTCACATTTTCCCTCAAATTTGTCACTAATCACCATCAGCCTTTCATTGTCAATAGCTCCCGGTAATAGCCATTCAATTCCATCATCTCTAGAATTACCACTTCCCCCAGCGTTATAAATATCTGAGATATAGCACCCACCAGTGCATTCCCTTCTGTCAATATTCCACCCCAGTTCAACACCACTGACAATTTTAACAATCATATTGCTACAACCTGACATATGCTATCATTACTCTGCCAATCACAAGTCATAGGGCCCTCCCTCATTATCAGCAAGGTGGCAGGTAACTCAGTTTCAAAACTCCATTATATGGCTCATGCCTCTAATCCCAGCACTTTGGGAGGCCAAGGTGGGCAGATCACCTGAGGTCAGGAGTTCAAGACCAGCCTGGACAGCATGGCGAAACCCAGTGTCTACTAAAAAATACAAAAATTAGCCGGGTGTGGTGGCGGGTGACTGTAATCCCAGCCACTTGGAAGGCTGAGGCAGGGAGAATTGCTTGAACCCAGGAGGCGAAGGTTGCAGTAAGCCAAGATTGCACCACTACACTCCAGCCTGGACAACAGAGCAAGACTCCGCCTCAAAAAGAAAAAGATTCCATTTTAGAGTTTGTGTTCTTGGAACAACTGCTGGTACCCACTGGTGCAGGGCAGATTCCCTAAAAATAGATTCTGAGATGGAGAATTGTATACAAGGTAATTACTGGGTAGTGTTCTCTAGAAAAATGCCTGCACAGGAGTGTATAAGGAGAATTGGACAGAGTAATAGGTTTAAATGCTTGTGATTGCAACAGAGGCCTCAGTTGGTCTCACAGGGAACTCTTAAGCCAAGATGGCCCTTTATAGAGGCTGCAAGTTGAAGACAGGGGGCCAGGTCTTTGAGGCCTGCACTGAGCAGTCTTTGGATATGGACTTCCCCCAGGGAGAAGATGTGACTTGTGAGAGGCAGCCCCCTGCAGTTAGGACAACTCCCAAGGAAGTATTTAGCTGTGAGCCATCAGCAGCCACTCACCCAGCAGCTGCGGGGATGGATGCCTCCACCCTGAAGGAGGATCCCGGCAGCACCACAGTGTGCACTACAGGGTGTATTAAATTTCCAGCTTCAGTTGTTGGTTATGTTTTCCTCCCAACATCATGATTTTGAGGCCTATTGTTAGGGACATACTGTATATTTATTATAAATATGTCTGTTCCATCAAACACTCTTATTTATTCCCTTGTGATCTTCTCAAGTTCTAGCTTATCAGATATTAGAATCATTATGTGTATCAGTCAGGGTTCAACCAGAAAAGCGGAACCAGTAGATATTTAAGATACTTGTGGCAAGGAGTTGGCTTACTCGATTGAGGGGGTGACTAGACGAGTCCAAAGTCCATAAGAGCACCCCATCAGGAAGGGCAGGCTGGAAGCTGTGGTATGCTGATGGAGTTTCTTCTGCATCAGGGAAACCTCAGTTCTTTTTTGAAGGCCTTTTAACTGATTGAATCAGGCCCACCCAAATTATCGAGGATAATCTCCCATACTACTTAGTCCAACTGGGTTCATGGGCTTCAATCTCATCTACAAAATGCCTTTACAGCAACACCTAGATTCGTGTTTACTTGAATAGCAAGAGACTTGTAGCCTAGTCAAGTTGACACATCAAAAGACCATCACACTCCCCAAGTTTCTTTTTTTCTTTTTTTTTCTTTTTTTTTGAGATGGAGTCGGGCTCTTGTCACCCAGGCTGGAGTACATGGAGTGCAGTGGCACAATGTCGGCTCACTGCAACCTCCGCTTCCCGAGTTCAAGCGATTCTCCTGCCTCAGCCTCCTGGGTAGCTGGGATTACAGGCGTGTGCCACCATGCCAGGTTAATTTTTGTACTTTTAGTAGAGACGGGGTTTCACCACGTTGGCCAGGCTGGTCTCAAACTCCTGACTTCAGGTGATCCACCCGCCTCGGCCTCCCAAAGTGCTGGGATTACAGGCGTGAGCCACCGTGCCCGGCCCAACGTTCTTTTTGTTAAAATTTTCCTGGTGTGGTGATATTAAGACTCTTTGACAGTCCTCCCCCAGCCCCACAGGATTCTGCTTCCATTTGGTTCTGTGTAGGTTTGTGACTGCTTTGACCAAGAGTCTGACAGAATTGGTGCTAGGTGACTTCCAAGGCCATGTTATAATTGGCCATGGCGCTTCTCTCTTGTTTACTGGAATGCTCACTCTTAGAGCCCAGAGCCGCCATGTAATAAGTCCAGCTGCCTCAGTCCTTTATACTGGAGAGACCACATTGAGGCTCTCTGGTGAAATACAAGCCAAGCTCATATTTTAGCCCAACTCCTCCCAAGCAGTAGATATGTGAGTGGAAAAGCCATGTTGGTAGCGGTCCCTCCCAGCCATCAAATCATCCCAACGGAGGCTACACACATAATGAGGCAAAGGCCCACCCACTCAGTTCCCCTTTTAAATTCCTCATCACGAAATTTATGAGCATAATAAGGTGATTGTTCTTCAAAACCACTAAGTTTTGGGGTGGTTTGTTAATAGAACAGTAGATAACGGGAACACCTTGAATATGTTTTTCTGTCATTTTATTTTTACAGTGTTTTATGTATTTTTGTTTGTGTCTCTTAGAAATAACAGCTACTCGGGAGGCTGAAACAGGAGAATCGCTTGAGCCCAGGAGGCAGAGGTTGCAGTGAGCCAAGCTCGCACCATTGCACTCCAGCCTGGCGGACAGAGCGAGACTCCGTCTCAAAAGAAAAAAGAAAGAAATAACATGGGTTTTTTCCCCCAATCTGAAAGTCTCAGAATCAAATTCCTGAGGAGGAAATGAGAACCTTTAACAGTTAATATGTATGCACAGTAAAGCCCGAAACCGCACGTTAAGTCTTTCTGCCTTCAGACCCACATCTTCCCTGCCCATTTTTCCTCTAGGAAATCTGGCACCCGGTTTTCTCTGGGTAATTGGCGCGGGGCTTCAACTCCCTGCGTTCCTCCAGCTACTGGCACCTCCCTGGCCTCTTAAGACGTCTACCAGACCTGCGTCTGCCCGGGGAAACTTTGAAGTTCCCTTCGGAACCTCGCAGGCTGACAAGCAAGTCAGAGCGATGGGTGGAGGAGGTTGCCATGGAGACAGGTCCAGGGCCAGAGGCGCGGGAGGGGGAGGCCGAAACTCGGGCTCCGATTGGCTCTGCGGGCGCGCAGCGTTCTCCTGGTGCACATGCGCAGTGACGCCGAGGCGAGGTCGCGGCGAGGCAGAGGCGCCGAGGCTTCTGGGCCGGGCTTCTCAGGACCGGGCTGGAACGTGCAGCTCCTGGCCGGGACACTCTGTGCTTTGCAGGGAAGGGAACTGGCGGATCCCGAGGACCCGCTGCCGCTCAGTACTGAGCCCGCCACGCAGGCGCCTGTGCCAGCGTCGCCATTGTTGCCTGTGGCCTTAGGGCCGCTACGGCTGCCCGTCGGCCGGGTCCCAGCGACAGGTATTGATGTCCGGGCGCAGCGCGCGAGTGTCCGCGCGGTCAGTGACAGCCCTATCCCGTCCACGCGCGGGCTCCCGTGCTCGTGGCCTGCGGGAGGGCAAAGACGGGGTGGAGGCTGCTGTGGGCCCAGTCCCAGCGTTGCGCGTCGCAGGGTCCCCGACTCCCCCGCTGCCCTCGCCCTCGACCCTGCGGCTGAAGAGGAGTAAGAGGCAGAGGGACTTGGCCGGGAAGGGGAGGCGACAGGAGGCAAGGCAAGGCTGTCGCATCTTCTCTGCAGGGCCTTGTAAACAGTTGTGTTTGGCGGCACGACTGTGTCTGAGCAGGGCTCGGAGCTGGAGCCTGGGGACAGGTGGTGTCGGTTCTCCTCCAGATCAGGCCGGTTCTAAGGTTTCCTTCGAGAATCCTTGTTTCCAATATATCCTTAAAGAACTGTCTCCTGTAGAAGCACTTAAAGGACTTCAAGTCACACCAACCTCTTCACTCTTTTCCAGTCCAACCCGCTGGTCTTCCCAGCCCTCTGATAGTGAAAGGCTAGAATCGGCTGGCATTAACATGCAAAGCAGAGAAATGGCTCGCCCTTTCCCCTGACAGTTCCCTTGGGAACCTTGAGCACTGTATTAAGAAGAAATTCTCCTCGTTTCTTCCAAGTAACAGATTCGCTCTGTTGTTGTTGAGAGCCAGTTCAGTCATTACAGCTTCTGTAACATCAGTGACTAAAATAGTGAAACTATTTTCTCTATAAAAATGTTTAATTTTTGTTTCAACAGGTTAGAGGTTTAATCTGTCGTTTTGCTTAGATTCTTTGAGTCATTGCCTCTGACACTACCTTTTTAATAGCAGCTCCATCCCCCACCAACCCCAAGCAGATTGCAGTTCCCTTACAAGTCTAAGGATATAGGGGAGGAAGACAAGGTAAAGCTACGCGTGTTCATCTATGCACACTGCGAGTCTGTTTCTGTGTGTGTATATGTATAGTAGAGTACACCAGGGATTCTTGACCTTGTGGTCCATGCTTGTGTTTCAGGGTCTTTTATCCATCCCTGCAAGTTCTGGGCTCAGAATTTGTCACTAAGGCTGCTAACTCTTCCTTGATTCTGTTCTGCCCTCGGCTGCAGCAGCCTTTGATATAGTGTCCTTGTGACTCTAGCATGAGACTTCAAGCAGTTGGCTCACTACTGGAGAAATAAAGGATATTGCCAGATTGACTCTCCTGTCTGTAGCAATGTTAGCCTCAAGCAAGAGGATGAACAATTCTTCACGTTCCCAAATCCTTCTAAGGTGGAAGTCAGACAAGGCTCAGAGTGGACCCTACAATGTTGAGAAGGAAATCCTTACTTCGAGATTCTTGCGTGACACTGAGACCTGTCGACAGAATTTTAGGAATTTTCCATACCCAGACCTGGCTGGTCCTCGAAAGGCATTGAGTCAACTCCGAGAGCTCTGCCTTAAGTGGCTGAGACCTGAGATTCACTCAAAGGAACAAATTTTGGAGCTGCTGGTGCTGGAGCAATTCCTGACCATCCTGCCTGGTGAGGTTAGGACTTGGGTAAAGTCCCAGTATCCAGAGAGCAGCGAGGAAGCAGTGACTCTGGTGGAGGATTTGACTCAGATTCTAGAAGAGGAAGGTGAGAATCATAGAGCAGAGAGGGGAGGAATCCCTGGGTGGTTAAAGAAGACAACTAGCACATCTGAGCAGCTCCTCTAAAGAAATTGGGGAGAACACTGAGAGGGCCAGGATGCATTTTTTAAAAAGAAAGAAATTGGGGAGAACAAAGGTTAGTGAGTGAGAACAAGGCTTTAACATGAGCTCCATCCATGGTGTTCTCCTTCCAGATTGCTTGGGAGCAAACACACATTATCTAAACCCCCAGGAAAAATGTCTTGAAAGAATGACCAGACACAACCAAATTACCACTGTGTGAGCCCTCAGAAAGTACCTGCAGAGGTTTGCACCATTCTACTAATCATTTGCTTTGTGAATTGAATTTTACAATAAAATACTTCCAAAAAAGGAAGAAAGGGTCTAGAGAACATTCCCTTATTAAGAGATAACTCACAAAATTAATATTCTGTAAGGATTTAGTTAAAATGTGAATTTTGTTCATACTCTTTAAGATTTTTAGAGCAAGCTTGTTTTTGAAGTGTGTTTTGATGTCTTAGGACAAGTCATTGGCCCTTTCGTCTGATGCTTTGAAGTAGGAGTGCTGTTTTTGATTTCCTTCTTACTTCTCAATTTAAGAAAGTGTAGGCATCTATTTGGTGAGGGGTTTCCTAGTCTATTCAAAAAGGACTAATCTCCCTCATGACCTCTTTCTCTTCTCTAGCTCCTCAAAACTCTACCCTTTCCCAAGATACCCCAGAGGAAGACCCCAGAGGAAAACATGCTTTCCAGGCAGGATGGCTAAATGACTTGGTGACCAAAGTGAGTGTGACTGTGTTTTCTGATTTTAAGATGCCTTCTTAGTGTGTGAGGACATTTTCTGACCTGGCCCTATAACTACTGTGCCCCCAGAAGCTCTATCAAGGACTTAAGCTCCAGTTTCTCTCCTATGTTATCTTGGTCTGTTAAGGTAGGTGAATGTACTATAAAGAAAAGGGGCTTCCATTCCCTTCCCTTCCCATATGTCTTTCCTTACTTTGACTTTGTCAGCAATATCACATAGAGGATACAGGATTGACCTCCACAGCCAGATGGATTTAGGTTTTGGTTCCTGGCTCTACCACTGGAACTGCAATTTGGGACAAGATACTTAACCTCTCTTAGCCTGAGTTATTCTACTCTCATAAATAGCATTTACCTCTTAGATTGTGAGTATTAAATATTATGAGACTTGTAGTTAGCCTGGATTAAACAATTAATAGATGATTGTTACTATTATTTTTCCTCATTAACAAGTAGTTAAAGGCCATGCATTCTGTCATATTATTGTTGATCATGAATTTATGTATATTTTTTGAGACAGAATCGCACTTTGTTGCCCAGGCTGAAGTGCGGTGGTGCGATCTTGGTCCACTGCAACCTCTACCTCCTGGGTTCAAGTGATTCTCATGCCACAGCCTCTGGAGTAGCTGGGGTTACAGGTGCGCGCCAACATGCCTGCCTAATTTTTGTATTTTGTATTTTTGTATTTTAGTAGAGACAGGGATTCGCCATGTTGGCCATGCTGGTCTTGAACTCCTGACCTCAGGTGATCCACCCGCGTTGACCTCCCAAAGTGCTGGGATTACAGATGTGAGCCACCGTGCCCGGCCATGAGTCTGTATTATTTTAAAGAATAGTAACTCAAGCTACCTTAAGAGAAAGATTTACTGTAAAAATATAACTGGTCTTTCTGAAATTGGAAAGCCTTTGGTAACCAAGTTAAAATGATTATTCATTGATGATGTGAACATTTACCTGGAAAACCTAACAAAATCAAGGGAAAAACTGTTAGAAACACTAATAGAAAAACTGGATAAAATGACTACAGAAAATGACATGCAAAAATTAATCACATATATACATACATATATATCAACATATACACATAAAAATGAGATAAATGATAAAATGAAAAAAATGCTTCCAGTATCACACCCCCCCAAAAAATTTAAAATATCTAAAACTAAGCATAGTATAAATATTGCAGTACTTTCATGTCTAATATTTTGTGGAACATGAAAGAAACCTTAAATATTATAAAGTCACCAGTTCTCCCTAAGTTATAAACTTAATACAAGTTTTAAATCCCAATATGATTTAAAAGAAAAAAATTTTTAAGAGATAGGATCTCACTAAATTGCCCAGGCTGGTCTTAAACTTCTGGCCTCAAAGTGATCCTCCTGCCTTGGCTTCCCAAAGTGTTGGGATTATAGGTATGAGCCACTGCACCTAGCCTCCAATATTATTTTTTAAAGATACAATTATATGCAAAAATAAACACATGGCCAGGCGCAGTGGCTCACACCTGTCATCCCAGCACTTTGGGAGGCGGAGGCAGCTGGATCACCTGAGGTCAGGAGTTTGGAGACCAGCCTGGCCAACATGGCAAAACCCTGTCTCTACTAAAAATACAAAAATTAGCTGGGCATGGTGGCATGCGCCTGTAATCCCAGCTACTCGGGAGGTCACTGCACTCCAGCCTGGGCAACAGAGCAAGACTCTGTCTCAAAAAAAAATAAATAAAAAAGAAACATGTAAGATAATACTATCTTTTTAACAAAAGAAGAGCAAACAAGAAAGGCACTAACCTTACCAGATTGTGAAATGTATTTAACAGTGCAGCAGTTCAACACTGTGATTATTGGCATCTGTTACATTTTTTAAAAGAAAGACTGAATTTAACTATAGAACACATAAAAATATCTTAACATTTTAATTATAATATGTTGGATTTATTCTTAAAGCATAGCTTGAAAAGCAAAACCATTCAACTCTGTGTCATCTGTGTTTAAAATTTAAAACTCAAGTCAGGCATGGTGGATCACTTCTGTAATCTCAACACTTTGGGGAGCTGAGGTGAAGGATCGCTTGAGTTCAGGAGTTTGAGACCAGCCTGGGCAGCATAGCAAAACCCCATCTCTACAAAACAATTTAAAAATTAGCCAACTGTGGTGGTGTATGCCTGTAGTCCCACCTACTCGGGAGGGTGAGGTGAGAGGATCACTTCTGCCCAGGAGTTCGGGGCTGCAGTGAACAATGGTTGGACCATTGCACTCCAGCCCAGGTGACCAGGCGAGACCCTGTCTCTTTTAAAAAATAATAATAATAAACCTTTTCCTTTTAAAAATGGAGCTGCCACCAATGCATGCACTAGTCCAGCACATGCAACAGAGTGGACCCTGTCTCTTTTAAAAATATTAATAATAAACTTTTTCTTTGTAAAATGGAGCTGCCACCAATGCATGCACGAGTGCCAAGTGAAAATAAATTCTGATCTATTTTCAAACTTCCGTTTAGGGTCATGGAGAGATGCTGTGGGGCTGTCCATATGTCGGGGAAGGGTTTTGACTAGACAACTTCTAGGATCCTACTAAAGCTTAAAATTCTGTGACACTCCCCCAGCATACATACACCCAGTGTCATCCGTGTCCCCTTTGCCATTAGTTCTTGAACTGAGTTAAGTTACACTTGATATTTTAGGAATCGATGACATTCAAAGATGTGGCTGTAGACATCACCCAGGAGGACTGGGAGTTAATGCGTCCTGTGCAGAAGGAATTATACAAGACTGTGACACTACAGAACTATTGGAACATGGTTTCTCTGGGTAAGGATCATCTCTACCCCTCCTCCTCTCAGCCTGTCCCCCCGGGTCTCTTTCTTACACCCGTTGTTAAAAATGGGTTGGCCCTCAGACATGCTTGGCTAAAAATGGGGTCTAGAAATAAATGTTCTTATCTCATTCAAGCACAAGAGTGACTGTTTTACTCCCGTTTCCCAAATGAAAGGTTTTTAAGTGAGAGAACATTAGCAACTGATGCACAGCTTCATAGTGCTGCCACCCGATGCTGCCTTGCCCAGCCTTTGCTACTCTAAAGGAAGGTTTCTTCCTTCACATATCCTCTTAAGTGGCAGGAAATTGTTATCCTGTCTCGGAAAAGGATAACAACCAACAGCCTAATTCTCTTATTAGATCATGTCCATGAACTATTGTTCTCCTACAGAGGTCTGTTCTCTCAGATAGGTAGAAGTCTGGTAATAAAACTTGGAGCAACTGTTTATCTCCAGGATAAAATTCATTATATTCCTCCTGAACAGGACTTACAGTGTACAGACCAACTGTGATTCCCATGTTGGAAGAACCATGGATGGTGATAAAAGAAATTTTAGAAGGCCCTAGTCCAGGTGAGAAACAGAAAGCACATGAGCTTCTTTGCATTTAAGAATCTATATCCTAAGTGTGGTGAGATATGCATTTTAAATATGACCAGGTCACTTTTTGCAAAGGCTTTCTAGCCTGTGAAGAACACTGAGCTGTTTGGTGTTGCTTCTTTACAGAGGCCTCTTCAGGAAGAGCTTCCTAAGATCACTATTAACACACTTTTCCCGTGTCTCTTCTCATTTTATCCTTCTACATGACCTCTAGGTCTCATCTCTTAGGGCTTTGTCTAGGGCTTTCATTGTGCCATGTTCCCCTTCCTCTAGATTTAAACATGCATGAATGCCCCCTAAAAATTTAAATGTTAAACCTTCTTCTTTTTGAGTTTCTTTTATTCTGTTCACTGACAAATCCCTACATCCCCCTGCCTTCACTTTTCTAAATCATCCCTTTCTTTTTTATTTTCGAATTACTTTAAAGATAATATATTCACGATTCACAATTTTTAAAAATGTATAAAGCAAAATATATATAAAAATATATATATAAATTACCCACCTGAATACCACATTCACCCAGTTCCTACATCTCCCTAGCATGTGACCGCTGTCATTAGAGCATGTCCATGAACCACTGTTTTCCTGTAGAAGTCTGTCCTCCCACATAAGTAGAAGTCAGGTAATAAAGTTTGAACAACTGTTGTCTCCAGGATAAAAGTGTGGCAATAAACAGTTGTTAGAGATGTTTATTTTGCTTTGAGTTTTTTGCATGTAAAGTCAATATAAAAATAGTTTTTCTCCATTTTTAATATGAATGGTAGCATACTATACATACTGTTTTGTACCTTGCTTTTTTAACTTAAAAGTATATCTTGAAAAGCCTTCCAAATGAGTATGTAAAGAGCTTCCTCATTTCTCTTTTTATATCTGCATCATATTTTTATTATTGAACTTGTTCCTTAGTCATGGACTTTTTCATTCTCACTCCTTGCTTATTCCCTCCACAGTAACTTCATTTTAAACAATTTCAAACCTACACAGGCACATTACATTAATCACTTATGTACTGTCTACTTGGAATCACTAATTATCATCGTTTAGCCACTTTTGCTCTATCTCTCTACAAAGGTTTTTGCACTGAGCCATTTTAATAGACATCATGACAACCCCTAAATACCTTCTAAGAACATGAACATTCTTCTACATAAGCATGATACCATTCTCTCACTCTAGATATTTAACATTTATATAATAGTGTCATCAAATGTATAGTCAAATATTCAGATTTTTCCCAACTGTCCCAAAAACATCCTTTATAGATATTTTTCTCCCCAATACAGGATCCAGTCAGGAATCACATGTTCCACTTGTTTATCTCGTATCTTTAGTACCTTTTAATAGAGAAATGTTCCCCAGCCTTTTTTCTTTTTTAAAAAAAGTCTTTCATGATATTGACATTTTTTAAAGGATCCAAGCCAGTTTTTTTTAATGACCTACAGTTTAGATTTGCCTCATTGTTTCCTAAAGATTAGTCAGTTTAAAGATTTTACCAAGAATATTTGAAAGGTGATATGTATCTTCCATTGCATTTCCTCAGGAGGTACATAGTGGTAATTCATCTCATCATTGGTGATGCTCAGTTTGGTTAAGGTGGTGTCTACAGGATCTCTCCTTTTTAAAGGTGCATTCTTTATGATTAATAAGTAATCTGTGGAGTGATACTTTGAGGTCACATGACTATTCCTCGATAATCTTTTACTTAAAATTTTTAGCATCCATTTGATTATCTTTGCATTGTTATATTGCTGGTTGCAAATGGTGATTTTCGTTTTTGTTGTTTTTGAGATGGAGTTTCACTCTTGTTGCCCAGGCTGGAGTGCAATGGCGTGATCGCCTCTCACTGCAACCTCTGCCTCCTGGGTTCAAGCAATTCTCCTGCCTCAGCTTCCAGAGTAGCTGGGGTTAGAAGCATGTGCCACCACACCCAGCTAGTTTTTGTATTTTTAGTAGAGACAGGGTGTCACCATGTTGGCCAGGCTGGTCTCAAACTCCTGACTTCAGGTGATCCACCTGCCTTGGCCTCCCAAAGTACTGAGATTACAGGCGTGAGCCACCATGCCCAGCTGCAAAATGGTGATTTTCTAATTCAGTCATCTTTTCTAAATGATTAACAGCATTCTTCATTAAAGAATAGCTATTTTGGCCGGGTACGCCTGTAATCCCAGCACTTTAGGAGGCCAAGGTGGGCGGATCACGAAGTCAGGAGTTCGAGACCAGCCTGGCCAACACAGTGAAACTCTGTATCTACTGAAAATACAAAAATTACCTGGGTGTGGTGGCGGGTGCCTGTAATCCCAGCTACTTGGGAGGCTGAGGCAGGAGAATCACTTGAACCCAGGAGGCGGAGGTTGCAGTGAGCCAAGATTGTGCCACTGCACTCCAGCCTAGGCAACAGAGCTAGACTCCATCTCAAAAAAAACAAAAAAGAATAGCTCTCCTTCCCTCACCCCATTTTTATGTATATACCACTGTGGACTAATGGAAATTTTTAAAATTCAATATATGATTAGTTGGCCAGGCACGGTGGCTCACTCCTGTAATCCCAGCACTTTAGGAGGCCAAGGTAGGTGGATCACTTGAGGTCAGGAGTTTGAGACCAGCCTGGTCAACATGGTAAAACCCTGTCTCTACTAAAAATAATAATAATAATAATACAAAAATTAGCTGGGCATGGTGGTGCATGCCTGTAGTCCCAGCTACTGGGGATGCTGAGGAAGGAGAATCCCGCTTGAACTCGGGAGGTGGAGATTGCAGGGAGCCAAGATTGTGGCACTGCACTCTAGCCTGGGCAACAGAGCGAGACTCCATTTCAAAAAAGAAAAAGGAAAAATATATATATATGTATGTATATTTATGTATTATTAGTCCATTAATTCCAGTTTTTACATTTTGTTTTGTGTTTTTGATGCTCAATTGTTCCAAATTTGGACACTCTAGCATCAAACAAAGTCCAGCATCTTTTTGACATGTCCCAATTAGTCTTCATCCATTTCCTTGCTTTCTGGCACAACCAGATGTTCTTTAGGCTCACCTTATGCTCACCTTAGACTTGGGATTTCTCCAAGGAATCCTGATTCATTTTAGTAGGGAATGGTACTTAGAAACCAAGATCTGGGCCATAAGTGTATTCACTGTTTAATGGTATCATTGCTACTGTTCAGTGGATAGAGCTAGGAAGTTTGTGTGTGTGTGTGTGTGTTTGTGTGTGTTTATGCATGTGTACATGTGTGTTAGTTCTTTTAAGTCAGGAGTTCATACTTAAACTCCAATTCAAATCTAACACAACAAGGATATTCCATTTTATATATTCCCATTTTCCATTTTGTATCTCCTGTCTCATGCAGTGAATAACCTAGTTTCCAACATCAGCATATTTACTTATTTGCTGTATCATATGTTACACACAAAAATAGTTTCAAATTTACATCACTATAACAAACAGTCTAGAAAGTTCAAGATTTCTTTGAAGTCCTTTTTGTCCTTAGAATATATACCACTAAGGATAGTGTTTTCTTGCTTTTTAAAATTATTTTTAATTTACATTTTTGAGTATGCGAAAACAGTAACATGGCTGATAACTCAAAAACTATATAGAAAGGTATACATTTCCTTTCCTTCTGCTCTCTTTCCACCTACTCCCTATAGGTAACCATGATCATCAGTTTCTGGTGTATCCTTCCTATGTTTCTCTTTGCAAAAATAAATTATTAATATATTATCTTCTTTTGTATACGAAAGAAGTATACTATGTATATTCTTGCATCTTGCTTTGTTATTCCATTTTTTATTTTATTTTATTATTTTATTTTATTGCTGTTGTTGAGACAGAGTCTCACTCTGTCACCCAAGCTGGAGTGCAATGGTATGACCATGGCTCACTGCAACCTCTATCTCCTGCATTCAAGCGATCCTTCCACCTCAGCCTCCTGAGTAGCTGGGAGTACAGGTGTGTGCCACCATGCCCAGATAATTTTTGTATTTTTTGCAGAGCAGGGTCTTGCTATGTTTCCCAGACTGGTCTCAATTTCTGGGCTCAAGCGATCCACCTGTCTTGGCCTCCAGTGCTGAGATTACAGGTGTGAGCCATGGCGCCCAGCCATTATTCCATTTTTTAAATCTAAGACACTGACTTCTTATATATCCACCAATATGGATGCTAGTATACAACAGTGAATTAAATAATAATGACAGATATGATATGGCCAGGCACAGTGGCTCACACCTGTAACCCCAACACTTTGGGAGGCTGAGGCAGGCAGATCGCTTGAACTCAGGAATTTGAGACCACCCTGGGCAACATAGTGAGACCTGTCTCTACTAAAAAAAATTTTTTTAATTAACTGGTCGTGGTGATTCATGACTATAGTCCCAGCTTCAGGGAGACTGAAGTGAGAGGATAACTTGAGCCCGGGAGATCAAGGCTGCAGTGAGCCAAGGTCGCACCACTGCATTCCCACTGGGTGAGAGAGTAATACTCTGTCTCAAAAAAAAAAAAAAAAAAATGCTACCTTAGAGTGAATTGTTTCACTTTTTTAAAAAACTAACTTTGGTCATTAGGTATTTTAAGGGTCATAAACTTTAAAAGCTAATTATTCTCTATAATTTATCGCCTTATATGCCTTAGTTGGCAAAATACAAAATACACCTACAGCACACTAAATTCTCTGGGGAACACATTCTGCACACTCTAGGCACTGAGAAAACATACAGAGTATGGAAATAAGCCTGGATTAGAGTCAGGATAGTCTTCTGGGAGATACTTGCAGTCTGAAGTCACTTCTCAACATGAAGAGTTTTTTAGATCATCAGAGAGCACAAATTTGGGCTCTGAATACTCAAGAAAGGGCAATGTATGGTTATGCATTTGGAGAGGGGGGGATTTTTCTCCCTCCAAAGAGCACCAAGACTGAGAAAGACAGTTCCTTTTTTCCTTCTGGACAGTGAGGTTTTGGGGTTTTGTTTTTTTAGCCTAGCCTGTTCTTACATAGTGTGTAGTCCTCTGTTCAAGGGACTCCTGTCAGCCTCCTCTCCTTGGCTGGGCCCCAGCCTTTGTCTTCTAGCCCCAGAATCCCTTGTACCCTCAGAATGGAAGCTTAAGGTCATCAAACATGATTGAAGAGCTATCTCAGGCAGTCAACTTCAGCTATTACTCACTTCTTGCCTTCCTGCTTTTACTTAATTTTTGGCCTGTGAGGATTTTGCTTTCTTGCCAGCTCAGAGATATATAGTAAGTTGAATCTACCTTTAGTTAGGGTACTTCAGGAAGTAGGTTAGTCATACTTCAGGAAATGGAAACTTTGATAATTAACAAACAGAATAGTAGTATTGGTTTGATGGCCATTACTGTCTCAGATCTTTTATAGTTCTTTATGTTTATATTTTATGGTTTATAGTTCTTTATGTTTATACAGTACTTTGCCATTCTTTGAGGCTCATTTCAAATCACACTTCTCCCACTGAAGCTTTCCTTGATTACCTGAGTCAACATTAATCTCCTCTGTTTGGAAATATTATACCACTGTTTGTCCTTATTAACCAAGGGATAACACTTCTAACCAATCCTTTCTGGTTTTAGTGATAAACATGTATTTAAACCCTGCTTAATGATCTGTTTCAGAAGTTTTGGTAAACTAATTTGTTTAAAAATGTGCATTTATCAGCTGGGCGCAGTGACTCTTGCCTGTAATCCCAGCACTTTGAGAGCCTGAGGCGGGTGGATCACCTGAGGTCAGGAGTTCAAGACCAGCCTGACCAACGTGGAGAAACCCTATCTACTAAAAATACAAAATTAGCCAGGCGTAGTGGCACATGCCTGTAATCGCAGCTACTCAGGAGGCTGAGGCAAGAGAATCGCTTGAACCCGGGAGGTGGAGGTTGTGGTGAGCCGAGATCGCACCATTGCACTCCAACCTGGGCAACGAAAGCAAAACTCCATATCAAAAAAAAAAGTGTGTTTATAGTAGCAACTTATTCCTGGTCATTATTCAGTCTTTCACTTTAAGTTTGTTAATTATAACTTTAGTACTTTTCAGTTGTATGTACAATCTGTCATAGACTGATACTGATTACACAGAAGTTGAATTCAGCTTCTGGTATTATCTCATCTCTTTTTTGTGTGTATACACACCTACTTGTACAGTCCATCCACATTCTCATTTTCTTCTGGGGAGGGGAATAACAAATCCTGGTTTGATAAAGTTGGTTTATAAATTTTTTTCTTTCATGAAAGTAATATAACTATTTTCTATGTTTCTTTATTACTTTTTATTTTGCTACACCTACTGGAATGGAATATAACTACTTACTAGTAATAAATAGCAACAAAAGTAATATAGCAAATTTATTGAAAATTAGAAACTAGAAACGAAAACCTATATCATTATTAGCATTTTGGTAATTTTTTTTCCACTTCTGATGTGTTTTCATGCTTGTTATGATACTCTTTTTCATTTAACATTACTCCTAAACATTTTCTTATATAAACTATGATTTTGTATTTGAATAAAAGTAAAAAAAGTCGTTTGTAAATTCAAGCAGTACAAGGAAGCAAATATTAAGTGTACCTCTCTCCTCAGTCATGACCAGGACCTTCTCCCCTTAGATTACGTGTGTGTGTTGGGGGGGGGTGGTGTGTGTGTGTCTATCTGTGTGTAACACAAATAGCATATCTTTACACAGGATGTTGCTCTACATTTTTTTACACACCTGCTTTTTTTTTCACTTAATGTATCCTGCACACTTTTTCATGTCAATGTACCTAGACCTACCTAATTATCAGTTATCAATATTCTGTTATCCCTTATTCTATTAATAACTAGTCCCTTACTGATGATGTAGCTGTCATTTTCAATTACTGCATATTACTCAATTGAATAGATATATTTGTAAAGGTATTATACTGTGATTTGCCTCTTAGAAAGTTTCTGAAATATTTAGTACCATTTTTGCTATATTATAAATTCTGTATTTGATTAAATTACATTATGTAATTCTTGATATTTGCAAGTTATATGTTTCCCACCTGGTTTCAAAGGATAGAGGTTGTAACTTAAATTTTGTGTTAAATAATTATACAAGAAACTTAATAGGCAGCAACAAATACACATTTGACTGCCTTATTACAGCCAGGTTCGATTGAGGGTCAACCTTTTTGGTTTGGTTTGGTTTGGTGTGTGTGTGTTTGGTTATGTGTATGCATGCACATCTGTGTACACTTTGATTTGAGTTCACCTTTTTACATGTTAATGTCATTTATTTTACCATTTCAGTTGAGTCGCCACCATATCCAGAGTCTTGGGCCATTTTTAAAGGAAATGTGTAAGAAGGATAAACTATTTCCAGAATTTGCACCTAGGTTGGAAATATAAGAAATGTACAGAATTGTGAATTACAGTCATGTGCTGCATAATGATTTTTTGGTCAACAACAAATTGCATGTATGACAGTGGTCCCATAAGACAACAATGGAGCATATATAGAAGCCTGATATATAAGCACTTGATATTTGTATTGCAGATCAAGTAGGGGAAATTATTGATATTCAGTAATAGTGCTGGTACATTTAGCTTTCCATGTTTAAAAAAAGAAAATATATGTATATCATCTAGGTTCATATAAGTATACCCTATGATGTTCACACAGGGATGAAATTGACCCAACACCGCATTTCTCAGAACGTATCCTCATTGTTAAGCAATCCATGACTGTACTCATATAAAGCCAAGTTCTGTCATGAGCCCAATACTATATTAGGTTGAACCATATAGGGTTACTGACATTCAGCCATTTTGACTTATAAAAAAAGGCAATTTCCTATATGATTCAACCTAATCTATATTTTATTTTATTTTTTTGAAGACAGGATCTTGCTCTGTCATCCAGGCTAGAGTGCAGTGGGGCGATCATGGCTCACTGCAACCTCCACCTCCCAGGCTCAAGCAATTCTCATGCCTTAGCCTCCCAGGTAGCTGGGACTACAGGCGCACACCACCACATCTGTCTAAATTTTTCTATTTTTAGTAGAGATAGAATTTCGCCATGATGGCCAGGCTGGTCTCGAACTCCTGACCTCAAGTGATCCACCTGCCTTGGCCTCCCAAAGTGCTGGGATTACAGGAGAAAGCCACAGAGCTTGGCCTCTAATCTGTATTTTAAATTCAAAGAAGCATTGTAGAGAGAAATATGAGTTGGACTATAAACAGCTTTTTTAATAGGTGGAGAAGGCATCGTAAGAGAAGGCCTAGAGTCTAGGATTAGCATGGCATCTAGAGAATATTATGAAGCGTAGTGGATAACTTTAGGCCGAGTGTGGCAGCCCATACCTGTAACCCTAGCACTTTGGGAGGCTGAGGCAGGCAGACCACCTGAGGCCAGGAGTTTGAGGCCAGCCTGGCCAACATGGTGAAACCGTGTCTCTATTAAAAATACAAAAATTAGCTGGGCATGGTGGTTACTGCCTGTAATCCCAGCTATTCAGGAGTCTGAGGCACGAAAATTACGTGAACCTGGGAGGCAGAGGTTGCAGTAAGCCAAGATGGCACAGAGTCTGTCTCCAAAAAAAAAAAAAAAAAAAAAAAAATAGCGGATAACTTTAAATTAAGCTGAACATGAGTTGTAGTAGGAGACAGAATAGAATAGAAAGGGCTTAGTTATTCTGGGATTGAATGCCAAGTGGAGGTATTCTAAACTTTTTCACTTTTATAGTTTAAGCCACTAGTCCTTAAACTTTGGTAGGTAGCAAAACTGCTGGGTTTAATAAAATAGATTACTCAGCTCTACTGCCAGAGTTTCTGATTCAGTATGTCTGGGTGAGACCCAACAATGTTAACACATTTCTTGATGATAGTGATGCTTATGCTGCTAGTGGGAGGACTACCTTGAAAACCATTGTTTTAGGCTATGGGAGATTTACTAGAGATATTTGAGCATAGAAAGCACTTGGTGAAATTGCTTTAGGAATATTATGTGGAATTGTGCAGAGCAGATTGGAAGAGAGAGTGATGAGAGTCAGCATGTCTACTTTATGAACCCATTACATAAATTAATCCATGAAGCCATCCCAAGTTATCCCACACAGTGTTATCACTGTTTTGGTTTCTCTTAGCTCTGTCACCTGACTTAATCTGTTTTATTCCCTCTGTGTCCATGTTGAATATGAAGAACCTGTCTGTTTTCAACAACTTAGTCTCCCTTTTTTTTGCCCTTTTTGTCTCCTTTCCCAAATTTGAAAGGCCATGATGATGACGTTTTCAGAGCTGTTCTCTTTGGGCATTTTATCTATGTTTATTATTTTGTTTCTATTTTGGCAGTTTCCTCTCTCAAAATAAAGACTTTTTATATTTTTTTTATTTCAGAATGGGAAACTAAAGTTCAAGCATGTACTCCAGTGGAGAATATGTCTAAACTCACAAAGGAAGAAACCCAGACCATCAAATTAGAAGACTCATATGACTACAATGATAGATTACAGAGGCGAGCAACAGGTGGCTTCTGGAAATTTCACACTAATGAAAGAGGTTTCAGTTTGAAGTCAGTCCTTTCACAAGAAGATGATCCTACAGAAGAATGTCTTAGTAAATATGATATATATAGAAATAATTTTGAAAAGCATTCAAACCTAATTGTACAGTTTGATACCCAATTAGATAATAAAACTTCTGTGTATAATGAAGGCAGGGCAACCTTCAATCATGTCTCATATGGTATTGTACATAGGAAAATACTTCCTGGAGAGAAGCCTTACAAGTGTAATGTGTGTGGGAAAAAATTTAGGAAATACCCTTCCCTCCTGAAACACCAAAGTACCCATGCCAAAGAGAAATCGTATGAATGTGAAGAATGTGGGAAGGAGTTTAGGCATATTTCATCCCTCATTGCACATCAGAGAATGCACACTGGAGAAAAACCATATGAATGCCACCAGTGTGGTAAAGCCTTCAGCCAGCGTGCACACCTTACTATACATCAGAGAATTCATACTGGAGAGAAACCCTATAAGTGTGATGACTGTGGGAAAGACTTTAGTCAGCGTGCACACCTTACCATCCATCAAAGGACACATACTGGAGAGAAACCATATAAATGCTTGGAATGTGGTAAAACCTTCAGTCACAGTTCATCACTGATTAATCATCAGAGAGTTCATACTGGAGAAAAACCTTATATATGCAATGAATGTGGGAAGACTTTCAGTCAGAGTACACACCTTCTTCAGCATCAAAAAATACATACTGGGAAGAAACCATATAAATGCAATGAATGTTGGAAAGTGTTTAGTCAGAGTACTTACCTTATTCGACATCAGAGAATTCATTCTGGAGAGAAGTGTTATAAATGTAATGAATGTGGAAAAGCCTTTGCTCATTCCTCAACCCTTATTCAACATCAAACCACTCACACTGGAGAGAAATCCTATATATGTAATATATGTGGGAAAGCCTTCAGCCAGAGTGCAAATCTTACTCAACATCATAGAACACATACTGGAGAGAAACCATATAAATGCAGTGTGTGTGGGAAAGCATTCAGCCAGAGTGTGCACCTTACTCAACATCAGAGGATTCATAATGGAGAAAAACCCTTTAAATGCAATATATGTGGGAAAGCATATAGACAAGGTGCAAATCTTACTCAGCATCAAAGGATTCATACTGGAGAGAAACCCTATAAATGTAATGAATGTGGGAAAGCTTTCATTTATTCCTCATCGCTTAATCAACATCAGAGAACTCATACTGGAGAGAGACCCTATAAATGTAATGAATGTGATAAGGATTTTAGCCAGAGAACATGCCTTATTCAACACCAGAGAATTCACACAGGAGAGAAACCCTATGCATGTCGTACATGTGGTAAAACCTTCACCCAGAGTACAAACCTTATTCAGCATCAACGTGTTCATACAGGTGCCAAACATCGTAATTAATGGATAAGGGAAACTTCAAATAGGTTTTACAACTTCATTTCAATTTTATTTTGTGCATTCTGTGTGTCAGAATATTCAGAAGAAATCCGAAGAAGTGCAATATGTTAGATACCACTCAGCAGAAGTATCAGAAGTAGTGGTAGGGATATAACCTATTTAGATTTAATGTGAAATTTAAGAAGGAAACTTGACTTCTTAACCTTTATTTGATATGAGTTTAATTCATTACAGAAAGAAACCCTGTGAAGGGTGTTCAGAAACATAACTCATCAACTCTTTATTTCAAGTACAGTCATCCCTCAGTATACTCGGGGGATTGGTTCCAGGACCACCCATGTACACCAAAATCTACCCATACTCAAGTTGCACGGTCAGCCTGGTGGAACCTGTGTATATGAAAAACCCTACATCTACGCAGGTTTCCCATCCCTGAATAATGTGCTTTCAAACTCTGTTCAGTTGAAAAAAAAAAATTCCAGTATACATGGATCTGTACAGTTCAAATGTGTTGTTCAAGGGTCAACTGTACATCCTGATGAGGCCTTATGAATGTAACTTGGGAAGGTGTCCATCAAGTAGAGATTTCACACCAGAGAGTGATCTTAAAATTACAGAAAAGAGAAAGCTGCTTTCAGGCCTTTTATTCCCAGCTTTGAAGCCTTAAAATATGTAAAGGATTCCTTTCCCTTTTTTACTTCCCCTTCTCCTGTTATGCCATAACTGCCATATGGAGCCAGTAGGTTTGAAAAAAACAGTTCAAAGTATTTTAAAGATTTCTATATGACCACTGTTTGGTTACACCTTCCCTCACATATCGAAATATTAAAGAGAAGCTTAATGAAAGATATGATAGAAACTAATGTGTATATAACATTAGATGTGTAGAGATTTAGTTAAACAGGCAAAAATTACATGCTCCAAGCTTAAATGAATTTTTAATACACATTAGCCTTGATTTTACTAGGTTTTGACATTCAAGGTCATCCTGAAGGAAAAAAGTAGGTATAAGGTATACAGTTCGCATTTTTTTCATCTGACTCCTAAATTTATACTTTAGATTTCTCTGTGACTGTTTTACTATGGAAAGTTCATTTCTTCCACTTAAACACATTTCTTGAGTGTCTACTATGCCTAGGTCCCAGACTTCCTAATTGGATCCTTTCAAGGCTTGTTACAGTGCTGAAAATCACAGGTGGTTTACACAACAGAAAGATTTCCAGAGCAATGAGAGAGTGAGGATGTGATATTTGGTCATGGGATGAGCATAAGCAACCTGCTAAAATGGGTTGCCAAATGCTACCTACATCCCAAGAGAAGGAAGTGGAAGTAATAGTGTAGCTATATAAATAATGTGAGAAAAAATAAATAATGGAGATGAGATTTGAGTTCACTGCAGAATGTGGGTTAGGGGAAAAGGTGAAATTTTAATGGAGTGAGGAAAAAAATACATAGATAATTGCTATAACATGAAATGTAATTAGACTTGCTTTGCCTATAAAATGAGTGGCTAAATAAAAAAGAATTCAGCCTGAATATTAGAAGAAACTAAAAACAAAGTGACTGATTTTTAAGGAATAATTGGAAGCCTGACACTCCCTCATACATGCAAGTAAAATAGAGGTTACTCTTAACATGTCAGGAAAAAATTTAATTGGCAAAAGCACTGATGCAGTAATCATTAAACAATGATAACTGGATTTGTGGGTCTTAAAAGGAAAACTGGCAGAAATGCAAATAGGAATAGATAAAAATACTATTGTATTTCATATTTACAGCATTCCACTACCAGAATATAAGGCCATATTCTGATAACTGAGATTTCATTGTGCTCATATTTGTTTCTCCAGTCCCTTGCATAATAGTGCATAGTCAATACATGGTTGAATTAATGAATAAATTATATAAATTAGATTTCAGTAATAAAGTAGAATTGACTGGCATGGAGTGAAAGTTGGCATAACTAAAAATACTTTTGTGCATATATCAAAGAAATGTTCAACAAATAACATTTACTTGGGAACTGCTTAAAAGTAGTGAATCAGATTTCATGGGACATCCTTGTACAGGAAGTTTTCCTGAGCTAAATGAGGGGAAATTGATATCAATTCTGGTACTATAAATATCAATTTAAGCTTGTATTAACCATGCAACTTCCTTTGGACATTACTGTTTATAAAACCATCCTACAAACAGGTACTGAAGGAAAGACCCGGGATGCTAGCATCCTAAAGGCTATATTGTTGAATGTTTTCTTTAAAAAACTTGATTTCCATTTCCCTTACATTAGTTAACCTTGATTTCATAGTATCATCCTGCACAAAGTACAGGTTGCAGAATACTCAAACTGTGCTTATATAGCTATGTTTTTTTAAATAACAGTTGTTTGACCTTATTTTTTTGATGCTGCTTCATCCCTCACACAGCACTTATTTCCCTTGGTTGAGCATGTGGCATGTGACAGTCCATAGCACCTTCCTTTGCATTACTCTGTATTTCCTGCCTTTGTATGTTTTATGTAAATAATGCATTTATAAAGTCTTCCACTGATAAACAGAGGCAATTGATGCCCTTACAAAATAACAGACTAGTAATAGTGGAGAACTCTAGATTTTTGTGTATTTTTCCCACTTTTACAGTTGTCTGACCCACAAATTATTCAACAGTTTTTAGCAAATAGCTTTATTTTCCGGAACTTTTTATTATGAGTTTTCAAATATACAGAAAGGTTTAAAAATAATAAAGTGAACTGTATACCCACCTAGATTTTAAAACTAACATTTTGCCATATTTTTTTTAACCAAACATTGGAAAGGAACTTACAGACATTACATTTCATCGCTAAACACTTAAGCATGCATTGCATAAAAATAAGGATGGTCTTTTACATAACCACAATACATTTACATACCTTTAAAAAAAAAAAAAAAAAGAACAGTAATTCCCTAATATCTGAACACCTAGTCTGTGTTTAAATTTCCTCTGTTGATCCAGTCAGTTTTCACACATAGTATTGATTATTAAATCTGTTTCATCTATCTAGAACAGTCCCCACTTTGGTACTTCTTCTTTAAGAGAGCAGGTCAGTTGTCTTGAAAAATGTCTCACGTTCAGGATTCAACTGACTATTTACATGTGGGTTGTTCTGGTATCCCCTGTAGTTTCCATAAATTAGAAGTTAGGGCAAAAGGCTTGATTGGGTTGTTTAAACATTTTTAATGATAACATCTCACAAATGTATTTCATAGTGCATCATATCAAAAGTCTCATTAATATCAGGTTGAGTCACTATCAATGGATCACTCATTTGAGGTCACCAGATCTTCCCAACATAAAGATAGTTTTTCCTATTACAGTTAGTCTGTGTACTGACACTGGCAGCATATGGACATTTTGATTGCCAACAACTTTTTACCTGGTAAAAAGTAACCAACGATGATCCTTGCCTGAATCCATTGTCTCATCAGTGTTTGCAAAATGACAATTTTCTAATTCTACCACTCTACATTTGTTGAGTGGCATTCTTGTATAACCTTCCCTCATCAACTAGGAATGCACTAGAGGCAGAGTCAGGCTCAATTATTTTGCCTTAATTACCAGTGTAGGAGTTTAATTACCAGTAAAGAGTTTGATGCTCTCATCTGCAGTGATAACAAATGATTCAATGTGTTAACAGTCATTTATGATCATTGTTTCTGATGTTCAGATTGTCCCAAATTTGGCCAGGTGGAGCCCTTCAAGTAGCTCTTGTGTCCTTTTGACATTCACTCTCTAGTCTTTGGACACTTGATTGCCTTCTAACACAAGATATCTCAAGTTGACCTTGCATTTTCAATACCCCAGGCATGGAATGAAACCTTTTTCCAAGAATCCCTGGCTCCTTCTAATAGGTAGCTATTTAGACACCAAGATCTGGGCACTAGGCATTCTCACTGCTCCTGGAGTGTCACTGGCAATTCTTTCCAATCATTCAAGTTGGTTTTCATAAAGACAACTCTTCACTCATGCCATCAGTTATATAATGTCTGTGTGATGAGGGATATAATTATATAACTGGGATAAACTTTCAGGCGCAAACAACTAAATCTTGTTAAGCATGCACCTAAATTGGAGAGAACACTTCCATGTTATGTATGCTAGAAAGCAGCAAATTAGCTGCAAGAGGCCTGTGACAAGGCCATCAGGAAATTTACAAGGGAATAGAGCTTGTCAGTTAATCTGCCAAGTGGGTTGAGGGCAATTAAGAGAGCAACTAGATGTATACCTAATCTGTTGTGTTTTAACTATCACATGTCTTGATAACTTATGGTATTTATAAGCTAATAGCCCTCCTTTCCTATCACATCTCTTAAGGCAGATTTCTAGTAAGATCTGAATATTAATCCTAAGGATCTGTTTCATGCAAATCTAAGTACTAGTTTTTCTTACTAAACCTTTATTTGGTCTCTAAAACTTTAAGGCTGTTACGTTTCATTCTTTGTCTTCTGGTGTCAGTTCACTTGCATGTGCCCGTAAATGTATTCTTACTCCTCTGTTTCTGTTATTCTCCCTATGGCTCTACCTTTCATAAGTATTAGCTCCTTAGAACACTGTAACCATTAAAAATGGCAAGCATGTGCACAACAGTGATACATACAAATGTGTAAGTGTGTAAGCACCATCGGGCCCCACACCCTGTATGAATGGGGAAAGTGAAGCCCATGATGCTGAAGTATCTTGCTTGAGGTCATACGTCATATAATGACAGAATAAGGATTGGAACAGCATAGCTCCAGCACTTAAAATTAATTGAGTTCTTCTTGTAAAATAATGTTGAATGGAAATTCTGAGTACAAAGAATATGTACCTACAATTTTATAAAATTATGTATTTTTATGAGATTAGAGCACTGAAAGTTTTTTAAATCTGTTTTTGTCTTATTTCCCATAGTTTCTTTCTGTTTGTTTTTTGTTTGTTTTGTTTTTTGTTTTAAGGAGCAGAGAGTTTAATAGGCAAGAAGGGGCTAGAAGGAAGGGAGAAGGAAGAAAGCAGCAGCTCCCCTGTACAGAGACAGAAGGAGAAGGGGCTCCAAAGCCAAAAGAGAAGGTCCCCACCTGCCATGGACACCAGCTAGGTATATATGCAAAGGCTGGAGAACACAGTGTTTGAATTGCATAGGGCTCAGGGGATTGGTTTGACTAGGCATGTCTTTACATAGCCAGAGAAAGAGCTGGCCCTCCCACCCTAGTCTTTTAATATGCAAATACAGGGCGCCATGATGTTCTACACACGTGGGGATAGGTGGGGGTGGCCATGTTGCCAGGAACATGTGGGGCAAGGGCAAGAAGGCTGTGGGAATCACCATGTTGCCTTGACCCAGTTTCAAATGGTCTGCATTTGCATATCAAAGGTTGACAGCCTGACTGTAAGAGCCTGGGCTTTACAAGAATCTTTTCTGGAGATGCTTTAAAAAACTAGAACTTCCCAAGGACCCCTTTACCTCTCTATCTGCCTAAAATAATTTCTTAGTAACTCCTACCACATTCCTCCCTGTGGCGATATGACACTAACTGCTGTTAGGGGGTTTTGGGCTACGACTCTTTCTGGCTACTTCCTGCTTTTCAGCAGGAAGTCAAATGGGGACCAGCAGCGAGGGCTCCTCCTGGGGTCAACTTAAGGGTCCTCTGGAGACTGGCGTGTCTATATGTGGTTCAGTTTGCAGCATCATTTAGAGTTTGACTGCTTCAAGGTGAGAAGAAAGAGTTTGAGTTATAGTATTGAGTGTACAGGGTCCAAATATCAATACAAGACATATAAGCAAGAGAGGGCTTGATAAAGGGGCTAACCAATTCCATAAAGAGGAATGGAATTCATTAAAGAGGGACTGTAGCCACGCAGGGCTGAAGCTGGCATTTTCCCTGAGCCTGTTAATAATTTTGATTTAGTTTTTAAGTACCTGTAGATTTTCCTCTACTAGAGGTGTTAATCATTACTAAACCCAATAAAAAGTCCTAGCAGAGGCCGGGCGCAGTGGCTTATACCTGTAATCCCAGCACTTTGGGAGGCCAAGGCGGGTGGATCATGAGGTCAGGAGATCAAGACCATCCTGGCTAACACAGTGAAACCCCGTCTACTAAAAATACAAAAAAATTAGGCATGATGGCGGGTGCCTGTAGTCCCAGCTACTCGGGAGGCTGAGGCAGGAGAATGGCGTGAACCCAGGAGATGGAGCTTGCAGTGAGCCAAGAGTGCGTCACTGCACTCCAGCTTGGGCAACAAAGTGAGACTCCATCTCAAAAAAAAAAAAAAAAAAAAAAGTCCTAGCATACTCAGTGATAGTAAAACTTTCATGCTTCCTTTTTGTCAGTAGTTAAATATTATCCCTGCTATAAGGATAATTAAGCAAAATACAACAGCAATGGAAACTCTGTCCAATATTTCAGTTAGAAGGTGCTACCATGTATAACCCTATTGCAAATAGTAGAGTGAGTATAGCAACTTCCACAAGTATGGTGTAGTAGATAATTTCCATGTAAAATTTTACTTGCCAAGATACAGAATTTTCCTTTGGTAGTCTATGAAGCCTTGGTTTTATTTTCCCAAACAAAAAAAACCTCTGGGTTATGGGCATCATACTCACTTTCATTACCTGGCAGAATTTGCAGGATAATTGCCCAGAACTAGCATATTGATTCAGATTTTTACATTACCTATCCCTTTTTATTTCTTCCAAACTGGAGGGGATTACCACTTGATTCAGAGGAATAAGCAGGGTTAGTACAAAATGTAGGCAAAAAGTTTAAAAACAATGAGACTAGGATTTAATGAGAAATGTATGCTAAGCTTTGGAGAAATGTATGATAAACTTTGGAGCATAATTTTTCTCTCCAGTCCTCACTTTTGATAAAAACAAATTATGATAGGACCGTGTGTGTTGTCCGTAAACTTTAGTCCTATACATGGCCTGATTATTTGCGTAAAGTGCAGTGAGAAAGGTTATTTCTATACAGGCCTTTTGGATTGGCTTTGATGAAACTGTTCCACAAGGAATCTCAGATAATACCTTTTAAAGCCAAGCCCAGCCATGGGTTTGTATCCTCAAATACCTGTGAGTTGGGTGATCCCCTCCTCCTGAGGTCCCAAGATAAACTCGGAGCTCCCAGACCTGTTAGAAAGTGACATTCTTTACTGACCACATGTTAGGAATCCTGTGTGGGGACTGTGCAGACAAGGTATGAGGCCAGTTCTCCCCAACGGGCCTTTATTGGCTCTGCATGTCAAGCTTCTTTCCTTAAAAAGAAACACATCGTTTTCAGTCAAAGCCTTGGTTAAAATAACCAGTTTTTCCAATTGTGTCCTGTTGACAAAGAAAAATGGATTCTTACTGCACTGATGCAAACAGCTATATTGCCATAAGTTAAGAGTACTTACAACTAGTCTCCAAATTCTAGAGGAACCAGGCAGAGAAAAATAAACACGCTCCAAATTTTGTTCACAGGAGTATACCTTACTCAATTATTAAAGGCCATAAATAGTTTAAAACTTTGACTCTGAAAAACAAAACAAGGATCAGCAATATTCCAAGCAAAGTTAAAAAGTCTGCTTTAACTTTCTGAGTGCAGTCCATTTAGTTAACTCTTGTTTTGCTTGATATTTGTGAACATGTTACTTCTTTATGAGTCCCGTACATTCTTCTCTATTCCAGTGTTACAATCTTTAAAGCTATTAAAGGCCGGGCGCGGTGGCTCAAGCCTGTAATCCCAGCACTTTGGGAGGCCGAGACGGGTGGATCACGAGGTCAGGAGATCGAGACCATCCTGGCTAACATGGTGAAACCCCGTCTCTACTAAAAATACAAAAAACTAGCCGGGCGTGGTGGCGGGCGCCTGTAGTCCCAGCTACTCGGAGGCTGAGGCGGGAGAATGGCGTGAACCCGGGAGGTGGAGCTTACAGTGAGCCGAGATCGCGCCACTGCACTCCAGCCTGGGCGACAGAGTGAGACTCCGTCTCAAAAAAAATAAATAAATAAAAAAAAATAAAGCTATTAAAAACCTGCATTTGAGAATACCTGTTAAACTCCTTAATAGAGCTTGATTATAAACTATTTTTTGAGAAGGAACAAAGCAAGACAACAATTGTCTGCAAATGACAAAATTCTCAGGATAGTTAAAAACAT